AAAATGTTTTTCATCCAGAGGGTTGCGGGAATCTGGACTTCACTGCCTGTAAGGGTGGAGAGGCAGAAACCTTTGCAGCATTTAGGTATTTAAATGTGCACATTTACAGTGCCAAGACATATAAGGCTATGGGCAAAGTGCTGGAAAGTGGGATTAGAACAGTTAGGGACAGCAAGAACTGCAGATGCTGGAGTCAGAGACAACACAGTGTGGAACTGGAGGAACACAGCAGGTCAGGCAGCATCAGAGGAGCAGGAATGTCAATGTTTCAGATTAAGGGGTTGGTTGTTTTTGACTTGCTGGAATTGATGGGCTGAAGGGACTTTTTCTGTACTGTAGGTCTCTTTGACTCTATGACCTGGCTGATGGCTACAATGACTTACCTTGGAACGTGTGTTAGGCGAAGAGGCTGCAATGAGAGTTGGTTTGCCTGAGATGCTCTGATACAGAAAACGAGATTTGTTAGGTGAGATTGGTGGCTGTTCGCAGCTCGGCAAAGGGGTTTTTAATCTCGATGCACTTGCTTGAGATTGAATTGATGCACTTCACTTCGAAGAAGACAACAATGGTTTTGGTGCTGGAGTCCTGTGCGAGCCGTATACCGAGCCACGCGTCTGAAACACAGAAAGCAAATGATTGCTGTGTGCATTGTGATTCCAATCAGATAAGCAAAAAAAACCCACTTCCTTTACTCGGAATGTTTCCACATATATAAAAAAAGATTGCAGAAACTATATGATATGTAGCTTAAACAAAGGCTTCATCAGTTATAATTTATTGACTATTCAACTCTTATGAATAGCGCTCATTTTGGCGGGATACGTTAAGAAGGGTCAGGACATGACTACTGGCGCCTGACTGATGTTGGAAGCGGTAGTTAAAAGCCCCCACCCCACCCGCTCTCTGCCCCAGTTCTCCGCAGACACCCCCCACCACCTCTGATATTCACACTGCACGAATCCCATTGTAGCCGCAGCCATTCCTAAACAGAGAACCTCGCTAGCTGCAGGTTGGGTATGTAAGTGCTGATTTGCTCTATGCACCTATTAACAGGGTTAGGAGCGAGAGTGGGAATGTGTGTTCATGGAGAGAACGCAGAAAATAAGGGATAAAACCAATTGTCAATATTCTGCACCTTTATCTATATCGAAAATCAAACACACAGGCAGGTTTTATTCCTCCCAGTTTTTAACAGTTGATTGCCTGTTCGCAATCTAAATGACCAGTCAGTGTTCAGGGATGTGCAGGTCAGGTAGATTGGCCATAGGGACTTGCCAATAGCGTCCAGGGGATGTACAGGGGAGGTGGTTTAGCCATGGGGAAAGCAGGGTTAAAGGGAATGGGTAGGGGGTTTGGTCTGGGTGGTATGCTCTTCGAAGGGGCAGTGCATCCTCCATGAACCGAATAGCCTGTATCCACGCTCTAGGGATTCTATAAAGGTTTACTAAGATACCAATCTCGTCACATACCCCACTTCCCATTTTCTGAGCGCATTTCAGACTTTCGAATCATTTCTTTCAACCAAAATCAGTTTCTGAAAACTTTTCAAGTTTTGACCAGGGCTCATAAAGATTGGGCGAGAAGCGAACAAAAATTCATCGTCACGCTGCAGACAATTGCTTGCATTTTGTTTAGCAAATGAAGACTCTGTGCTTTTATTAAACCTGGTGGCATTATTCGCGCAGTGGGTTACCCAGGACATTTCATCTCTCTCTCTCTCCCTGCCTCCAGGCATCAGAGCAGAAGTGAGTGCAGAAACCACTAAAGACTCAGCAGCAGACTGAAGTGGAAGAATCCAGGGTGGTTTCCAGGGTGACTATTCCACTGCTGGGCTTGTCACTGGCCACCTTCTGCTCTCCAACTCAGTCAGCAATTTGCATAGGACTCCGTCTGTCTATCTCAGTCCTATTGTCACTGTAGCGCCCTTGCTCTTTATTCGAAATTTTGGCGGGCGATACAATTTAGTGAGGGGGGGTGGTCGTCAGAATAGTCCCTTCAAAAAGCGTTTCCTTTCAAACCGTAACGTATATACGAATTGATAATAATACTGACTGTGACAGTCGTTAAGATAACGAAAGCAACTCTAAAAGGCCAGGAGAAAAAATATGCATCGATTTACAACCTGTCACGATAGTGCTGTTAGATTCTTTCGAGAATGTACAGTGTACTGTATACAATTAAAACTACGACAATACTACTCGGACACCTAAGCATGCTGTGCATGGAGACACGTTGCTGCAGTTAGTGCAAATTTCAGTTCGAGATGTGTTGTACTGCACTTTGGCAGTTTTAGGAATAAAACATATGGGGAAGAGGAATTTCAGTCTCTGATAAAAAGAGTTTTATTTTGCTTTGAAAAGCATGTAGCAATCAGCATATTACAAACGCAGAACTGACCCGAGTTAGCTTCGTTTATCAGTTTAACTAAAACACCATCTTTAAGTTAAGGCGAGTGTTCCGATTTAGTAGATCATTTTAATTTAGTGTGGAAGCTTAATTCTTGTATTTCACACTTATATACTGTGCTGGCTGTTCATCTGTGATGAACAGTAATTCTTACACTCTGAGGAAACAGATTTTTTTCTTATTCGTTCACGGGACGTGACCATTGCTGGTTGGGTTAACATTTATTGCCCTTCCCTAGTTGCCCTTGAGAAGGTGCCTTCTTGAACCGCTGCAGTCCATCTGCTGTGGATTGACCCACAATGCCATTAGGGAGGGAATTTCAGGATTTTGACCCAGCAACAGTGAAGTAAGGGCGATATATTTCCAAGTCAGGATGGAGAGTAGTTTGGAGGGCAACTTGCAGGTGGTTTTGTGTTCTGCATAATTTCAGCTATTAGTAAAAGTACTCTTTTTACTTAACTACTGCGTTCGGTATGTGATCCTATAAATCATATTCAGATTGGGAATTGACAGTGAGAGTTTCTTATGGTCTTTGGTGATTTCTGCATTAACGAAAATAGTCACGAGAGGGATTTCTCAAAAACCATCTAAAATCACACTAAACCAGTGGCCCAGAAATGAGGGGTATCCCTAATCTGAAAACATCCGATTTCTCCATCTACTGCTATGCTTCCAAACCGGTCAGTCACGGAGTGTTATAAAACTCAGTTCCACTCTTGTGAACATGATTTACAGGGTGGGGTGGGGGGAGTAAAGAACAGCGTTAGGGCCTAAATGTTTTAAATCAATGCATGCGTTAGAATGTGACGGTACCTCCTGGTAGTGGGAGGTGAAAATTAAATGATAAAATGGCAGTCAAATGATCTGAAATGGGATGTCAGTTCTGCGTTTGTTATTTGCTGATTGCTACATGCTTTTCAAAGCAAAATAAAACTCTTTTTATCAGTGACTGAAATTCCTCTTCCCCATATGTTTTCCCCATATGTGTATATCAAGAGGTATGAAATGACATTGAGACACCTCAGAGTGCAACAAGCTACATGGGGAAAAGTCGAATTTGATCGCATTTTCTGTAGTGTTCATATTGAATTATTTTGTCCTCAGGCCACCTCCCTGACATCGAATGTAAGTATTGAGGGAGCTTCAACTGTACTGAAATGCCGTCTGGCGAAAAGTTCAATTTTATTGCACTTCCTGTAAGTTTCTATTTGAAATATTTTGTCACACGCTTTTACAAATCTATGAACAATTTTTCTCTGCAAGTAAATATTTCATCCTTCCTCGACATTTACAGTCATACAGTCATAGAGTTGGACAACTTGGAAACAGACCCTTTCGTCCAACTCTTCCATGCCGACCGGAAATCCTAAATAAATTTAGTCCCATTTTCCAGCATTTGGCCCATATGCCTCTAAACCGTTCCTATTCACATAACCCATCCAGCTGCCTTTTAAATGTTGTAATCATGCCAGCCTCCGCCACTTCCTCTGCCAGCGCATTTCACACGCGCACCACCCTCTGCGTGAAAAAGTTGCCCCTTGGGTCCCTTTTAAATCTTTCCCCTCTCACCTTAAGCCTATGCCCACTAGTTTTGGACTCCTCCATCCGGGAAAAGACCTCGCGCGTATTAACCCTATCCATGCTCCTCATGATTTTACAAACCTCTATAATATCACCCTTCAGCCTCAGGGAAAATAGCCCCAGCCTATTCAGCTTCTCCCCATAACTCAAACCCTCCAACCCTGGCAACATCCTTGTAAATCTTTTCTGAACCCTTTCAAGTTTCACAGCATCCTTCCTAAAGCAGGGAGACCGCAAGTGCACGCAGTATTCCAAAAGTGGTCTCACCAATGTCCTGTACAGCCACAACATGATGTCCCAACTCCTATACTCAATGCACTGACAATAAACATATTTAGGAGCAAATTACCGATCTCCAGCACTTATAATTTAATATTTATTTTCCCGATTAACAGTAAACATTACATTTGATGTTAAAGAGCAAATCTCCCGCTGGAATGTCAGAAGACTGGCAAATGTGGGGAACAAAAACAGAAATTGCTGGGAAAACTCAGCAGATCTGGCAGCATCTGTGGAGAGAAATCAGAGCTAATGTTTCGATTCCTCTCCACGGATGCTGTGAGACCTGCTGAGTATTTTTTTTCCCACAGCAATTTCTGCGTTTCCGATTTCCAGCATCTGTAGTTCTTTTGGGGAATATGTGGGGCTCAGACGGCGGCTATCAAAAGCGGATATTTCGAGGGATTTCACAAATAAATGAGTCAACTTTCGTTCAGTACTGTGGACTTGGCAGCGCACAATCATTTTATACCGGTACTCCAGCTCTGCCAAGCTAGCGAAACAGTTAATTAAGTTTTAAACGGGAAATAACTGAGGATGGGAGCCTGACTCGAGTGTGGAGTGGTAGAGACGCTATTGCCCTTTTAAAAGTGTTGGAAGGCGTGTCTCGGCCAAGACTTGATATTCCCCATGATTGGCTTTCACCGAAGCGCCTATTGATTGGTCTGCAAACTCCGGACTGGGTAACAAATATTTAGCAACAGGAGCTGGGTATGTCAGAGGCTGGAGTTCACTGTGAGCAATGGAAGGACAGAAGTAAAAGGGTAGGGGGCGGTGCAGCTCTGTCCTTCGGAATGACCAATATGCCCGTGTCTGGAACTCCGTCTCTCTGTGGATGTCACTTCTAATGGGAATCTCCGCTTGATTAAATCCTGATCGTGTCTGTGGGTTTAAAGATGCTTCTATTGACTCCCTTTGCACTGTGGACTTTTCTGCTTTCCCTGCTGAAGATGGTGTGCTCTAATTACTCCGTAGACCTGTGCAGCTGGAAAGGAAGGTTGGAAAGGCTGCTTTATTATTATTTGTGTGTGAATGCCAGAGCACGCGTGAGTTCAGATCCTCGACTTTGTTGTCCTGTTTGGCGATCTGTGTGCTCACACCAGGACAGGGACCGAGGATCCCTGGATAGCAGCGCCCCCTGGCCACTTCTGGTCTAAACTTTCCAGAAATTTTTCGGAAACTTGTTTTTGTTATCAGCAGAAATGATATAAAAGTGTACTTTTCAAATAAGAAAATGACGAGGGCGGGAGGCGTTATACGGGGAGAAACTAGAGGATTCTTGTTGAACCAACTTTGTTAAGCCAGTGGTATTTGAAAAATAAGCGACCGAGTTTGCATTCCCAACTCGAATAAATATAAATCCTTTGGAGATGTTTCAGGTTAAGTCTAACATGATGAAATCTAGAGCAGCTTCCCATGATGAGAAATATGAGGATATCTGGGTTCTATCGTTGTGTTTGCATTTTTCCCCAAAAACTCTTATTCGCAAAAAATGTAAACAAAAACATCGCCAAAAATCATTTGGCTTAAATATTAAATGATCTCAGAATTTGAACAGCCAATTAAACGATTCCATTATATTCCCAGCTCCGTATTGCTGACCGCTATTTGGTGATTAAGGTTATTTTAATTCCTATCATGTACATCACTGGGTTATTACAGCTAGGGTGCCTTGTAAACTGGAGGTCATTTTTTATTTTTAACTTGCAGTGCTCTACTTTCTATTTATTGTTTGCAGGCTGGGAGTTTTGCTTTCATAATTGTGGCCTCGGATCCAGCATTTTATTAAAATGCAAGCTCTTTGTTATATTTGGCGCGCACTTTTATTGTTCCAATTGGTCTGCCCCTTTAAAGTGCAGCGATGCGCTTGACAACAGCAGGACCCCGGGCAATCTGTCTCATCCCCTCTGAGCTCGGAACTCAGCCCGCACTTTATTCGCTGGAGCAATGCTATTTGCTGAGAAAATAGCCTTTTTATTTCATGCGGGGATGGGGGAACCCATCCTTGCACGTGAACTGGGGTGAGGGAAATTGAGTTGCTGGTGAGGCACTTTCTGCAGTGTTATTGTTGCTTGTTCAGTTTCACTGGTTTTACGTTAGTTGCTTGTGATCTAGATAGTTACAGGATGCACAGGGACATCATTTGACAGGAGGAAATCCGAAGCTGTTATAATGACCAGTGTTCATTATAAGGCCCTGATCTAAAATTTACTCTTCACTTGGTCATAAATGCCCCCTTCTTGGTCTACAGTAGGCTTGGAGCAATTTTTAAACCAAAACAATATCTGTCCATTCTGCACAGCTCCGAGCAGGTGGATCTGCTGGCATTACTTGCAGCTTTCATGAGCTGTTTGGTCACTTGAGTTTCAACTCACTTAAGGTTTCACCAACATGGAAACTAGGATCAGACTCTTCAGATCATACAAGGCCCAGGGGAAATTTAATACATAAGCTCACCATTCTGAATGAGTTAGAAAGATTGGAAGAGGAGAAAGTGCTGAGAAAAGAATGTTTTTTTTAAAAGTTCATGGAATGTGACTGCCATTTATTGCCAAGAGGTTGTGGGTCTGGAGTCCTATGTAGATCAGGGAAGACTGGCAGATTTTTTTCCCATAAATGACATGACGAAACCGACAGGTTTTTACAGCAACCAACAGTGTATGTGGTCCATGGTTAGCATTACACTATCTCAGTTTTCCAGATTTTATTGAATTGAAATTTCAGCTTCTACCACGGAATTTGAACCTGTGTCCCAAAAACATTGTGGCCTGGGATTCTGAATTACTTCGGCGGTGACATTGCTATCACACACTTTATGACCAATAAACTGATGGAAGTGGAAAAGCAATGCTGGGCATGTCTACATGTGTATAAATTGGTGATGACATATGGACATCTGTTCCCTAATAAGGGAGAGCTGGTGGTGCGGTGGTACTGTCACTGGGTTAGTAATTCAGAGACCAAGGCTATTGCTCTGGGACCACAGCTTCAAATCCCACCATCATGACCATCTTGAATTGCTCTTGATCTAAATGGCCCAGTTGAATTAGCACCATCTGGATTTGAAAATTGGCTTTGTTAATGGTGACATCTACTATCTATCTGAGGTAATATGTCATCCTTATCCAGTCTGGCCTATATATGGCTGCAGACCCACAGCAAACTAGTTGACTCTTAACTGTCACCCAGGCTATTAGAGATTATTAATAAATGTTAGACCAATATCCATTGGATGCCCACATCCTATGAACAAATAATAAAAAACAGCTTTCTCTGCCTTTTCCCTATACGCAGGCACATTGATTTTACTTAAATAACCATCCATTGCCCCCTCAAATTGCTTCAATTGAACCTGCCTCCACTGCCTTTCCAGGCAGTGCATTCCAGACCCTAACTATTTGCAGTGTAAACATGTCTTATTCACTTTGTATTTGCTTCTTTTGCAAAGCACTGTAAATCTGTGCCCTTTGGATCTTGATCCTATTATGAGCAGGAAGAGTTTCTATCTAACTTACCCAGGCCCTTCATGGTTTTATAACCTTAGCTCTTAGCCTTCTTCTCCAGGAAAACTGTTCCAACCTCTCCAATCTCGCGTCACAATTTTCCTGAAACCATTCTTGTAAATCATTTCTGCACTCTGTCTCTCCAACGCATTCACTTCCTCCCCATAATGTGGCACCACAACTATGCACAATACTCCAGCTGAGGTCTAACAAGCTCCTTGTACAATTTTAACATGACCTCCCTGCTCTTGTACTCTATGCCCTCATTAATAGCTGAGGATAGTGAAAGCTTTATTAACTGCATTTTCCAGTTATCCTACCACTTCCAATGATCTGTGCTCCTGTACAACCTGTTCTGAACCCCATTTAATTGAATTGCACCCCCTGTTTTGTATTGACTGTGCACGTACTCTAAACTAAAATGCTTCTCATGTGAGTGCAACTCACAGGCTGATTTAAGCAGACATTTTTTGCAGTGACAGTATGCAGCCTCAGTGTTAAAAGGGAATCAATGTGCAGCGTACTTAATGTCCTCTTGTGCTCCTTTTCCAGTGGTTTGTCCCAGGAGCCTGGTAGTGTGGAGCAGATCTTCTTGCACTGTGCTGAGGGGGACGTGGAGTGGCTGTATCCGGTGGGAGCGCTGCACCTCAGCCTGTCTCCCCGGATCCCATCTCAGCTGACCGGCCCAGCCACCCCTGGAAGTTCCGGGGCTCAAGTCACGGCCTGCATCAAACCGGCAGAGAGCTTTCGGGGGGCTCAGATCTACCTGGAGCGGGATGGGGAGCTGCAGCTGCTAGTGTGGGATCGACAGGAGGAGGAGGAAGAAGATGGGGGTATCGAACCCAAAGTCCATTGTTTCAGCCGCTCGGCTGGCGAGAAGGTGGCACTCTTCATCCAGTCCACCCTGCACAGGGATATCAGCCGCCGCATTGCTGCCTTTAAGTATGAGCTTCGGGGAGATTGGAGCTCGGGAGTACTGCTCTCTCAGCAGATTGAAAGTAAGGAGTCATCAATAATATCGATACCTTGGACTGTGCACGCCCGCTTACAATGTTGACTTGTTAACTAGAGCTTTCAGACTACCCTGAACTAACACCGTTCCCCCACCCCGCAACTTGTCAGTCACAGTGGCAGGGAATGGGCAAATTCAACCAATCAGTCTTTGGAGGTGATCCCAATCTGTCAATACAATACAGGCATTGATGCAGAGATCCCATTGTCAGGAGAAGGTGGGGGAGAATTGACATGATCCCTTAAAGCTGGATTGGTTTCCTTAGTTGACCAGAGGGTGCAGAATAAAGCCAAAAGTATTGGTTCAATCCCCACAACTGGCAGTGGTAGTTCATATCTTCTCAGCTGAGCTGGGAGGTCATGTTGCGGCTGTAAAGGGCATTGGTGAGGCCACTTCTAGAATGCTGTGTTCAATTCTGTAGGAAAGATGTTGTTAAACTTGAAAGCATTCAGAGAAGATTTACAAGCATGTTGTCAGGATTGGAGGATTTGAGTTATAAGGAGAGGCTGAACTAGCTAGGGCTATTTTCCCTGGAGTGTAGAATGCTGGGGGGGTTATGAAGGTTTATGAAATCATAGGGGACATGAATAGAGTGAATATCCAAGGTCCTTTTCCCTGGGCAGGGCATAGGTGTAAAGTGAGAGGGGAAAGATTTAAAAGGGACCTGAAGGACAACTTTTTTCATGCAGAGGGTGATGCGTGTATAGAACGAGCTGCCAGAAGAGATGATGGAGGCTGGTACAATTACAGCATTTAAAATGCATCTGGGTGACTACATGAAAACAAAGGGTTTAGTGGGGTATGGGCCAAATGCTAGCAGATGGGTCTAGATCAGTTTAGGATGTCTGGTCAATGTGGATGAGTTGAACTGAAGGATCTGTTTCTGTGCTGTATGACTCTATGACTTTTCATTCCAACTGGTTACCCACAAGTTATACATATCCAGTTGTCTCTCTCTCTGATGGAAGGAGATGTCTCTAGTCCTTTCTAGACTATGGCTCCTTACCATGCCTTGAAAGGAAGGCTGCAGCTTAATTCATTTCCATTTACAGATTTGCTCAGCCCCATAATCTTTAACACAATGGAAGACAGAGACGTGTGCTCAGATAGCACCATTCATGAATTTAGAAGGTTCGAACCTGAACTGCTTGTGTTAAGTACTTTTGAAATGCAGTCTCTGCTGTAATGGAGCTACCTGTGAGGATAAAACTCTCAAACCAGAGATTCATTAAAACTGGAATCAGTGCATTCAATACTGAAATGGGAATTGAAGGCCTGTTTTGAACTGGTGCCAGTAGGAAGTGGTAGAAGGGCTGATGATACCCAGGAGGAAACAACAGTCAAACTGCTGATATTATTGGCAATACTGGCTCCAGGAGGAAATGCCAGTTGAATGGTCCACACTTGTTATTTTCCCAGTTTGACCACAGATGCTTCCAGTTTGACTTCAGTGGTGAACTGGAATAGTGTGAGTGCGCCTCTACAAATGTCCAGTCAAAATATTTTAAACGAAGGTTTCATCTAAAACTGCACAAATGTTATTGTGGAAAATAGGAAGGGGTCTATGCACAAGGCTAAAATACAGACACTGCTTGCAATTGACTGCAGACAAAAAGACACACCCAATAGATAAGGGACACCCATTAGATAGAGAAAGATGTACAATTTGGAAACAAATAGATCAGAACCCTGCAACATCTAATATGATTGCATTTTTAAAAAGAATACTTCCAACATCTTAGTACACACAACTTCCTCAGCTAGAGCAGGAGTTTACTGTTGGAAGTGTGCTCCCAGTATCACTCTGTCCTGTAGGTGGAGCTCTCCCTGAGCAAATTTGACATCCTTTCAGTAGCCAACAATTGACAAACAATGAGTGGCCCTTTCAGCCTGGGGCATTTATTCACTGCTGCTCTTCATTACCTGCGCCCCCCCCACCCCAATCTCCTCCTACTCCTTACAATTGCCTCGATAGAGGGGAAGGAAAGGACTTGTCACTATCCTGAAGGTCAGATCTGAAAATGTAGACTAGTTATTCTAAATGTGCAAACTGTACACGATTGTGTGTAGTCTGGAGTGACAATGACTTGACCAAAGGCAAGTTTACTATTCCAATCTTCCTCTGCCCTTTCCATAACTTTTTGTATTTAGTTTCAAAAGTTAATGCTTCCACATAGGAAAGTTTGCAGTTTTAATAACCCCTCTGTTAATATTTGCTCAATGACTGTTGTGAAGCAGACCACTGTTAAAGAGGTTGGTACTTGTCATATTTCATGCAGCTACCTGCACTGAGAAGAAACAATAGTTCTGGCACCTCATCAGACTTTGCCCCACCAGGTCAGAATGATCAGTGAAGTCAGTTTGATTTCACATTTCACCTGGATTCTTTTTAGTTACCTGGAGTTTGTTAAAGTTTTTATGAACTTGATGACCTATTGGGTGAAATTCCCAACAGCAGGTACTAAACAAGTCAATCAGAGTTTACATAGGGAAGAGGAAAAACAATTGGTGGAGTTGAGGGGGGGTAGCAAATAAAAGTGTTCTTTCTTGGTAACAAAAGAGAAACAACTGGATGTCTCTTTCTGTAAGCCATTCTTGCAAAATGAAATGCAAAAGGACAATACTTCAGATTGTCTCAATCTGATTTCCTGAAACGGACAAAGCTAAATTTTTGTGTAAAATTAACATTGCTTCCAGACAAAGATTATAGCAGTGTCAGCATATGTTTGGAAGATCATTTTGTAATTCTCAGAAAACTTGGGAATATCACCATAAAGCATGAGATGGAGGAACAGGACCATTCATCCCATTGAGTGTGCTCTGCCATTCAATAAGATCATAGCTGATCTGATAATCCTCGATTCCATTTTCCTACCTTTGCCCCATAACCCTTGATTCCCTTACTGGTTAGAAATCTGTCTATCTCAGCCTTGAATATACTTAATGACCCAGGTTTGACAGCTCTCTGTGGTAAAGAAGTTCACAGATTCACTACCCTCTGAGAGAAGAAACGAAGTAGGGTCAGATGGTGTAGAATCGGTGTGGGTAGAATTGAGGAACCGCAAAGATAAAAACAACCATGATTGGAGTTGTGTACAGGCCTCCAAACAGTAGTCAGGAGCTGGGGCGCAAGATACACCAGGAGATAGAAAAGGTGTGTAAGAAAGGCAAAGCCACAGTGATCATGGGGGATTTCAATATGCAGGTGGACTGGGAAAATCATGTTGGTAGTGGATTGCAAGAAAAGGAGTTTGTGGAATGTCTACGAGATGGCTTTTTGGAGCAGCTCATGGTGGAGCCCAGAAGGGAACAGGCAATGCTGGACTTAGTGTTGTGTAACGAGGCAGAATTGATAAGGGAGCTTAAGGTGAAAGAACCCTTAAGAGGCAGTGATCACAAGATGATAGAATTTACTCTGCAATTTGAGAGGGAGAGGATAGAATCAGAGGTAACAGTTTACAGCTGAATAAAGGCGACTACAGAGGTATGAGGGAGGTGCTGGGCAGAATTGACTGGAAGAGGAGCCTAGCAGGAAAACAGTGGAACAGCAATGGCAGGGGTTTCTGGGAGTAATTCAGGAGACACAGCAAAAATTCATTCCTAGGGAAAAGAAGCTTGGTACAGGGAGGATGAGTATAGTCCCATGACTATACTGAGACTGAGACTATACTGGGACTATACTGAGACTGAGACTATACTGGGACTATACTATTCAAAACAGATTAAATACCGGAATACCGAATGGCCTGGACAGAGTGGATGTTGGGAAGATGTTTTCATTTGGAGGAGAGATTAATACCCGAGGGCATTGCCTTAGAGTAAAGGGAAGACCTATTAGAATGGAGAGATAAGGAGAAACTTCTTCAGCCAGAGAGTGGTGAATCTATGGGATTCACTGCCACAGAAGGCTGTGGAGGCCAGATCACTGAGTACATTTAAGACCGAGATAAATAGGTTCTTGATTATAAAGGGGGTCAAGGGTTACGGGGAGAAAGCGGGAAAATAGGGTTGAGGAACTTATCAGCCATGATTGAATGGTGGAGCAGACTCGATGGGCTGAATGGCCTAATTTCTGCTCCTATGTCTTATGATATTATAGAAGAAATTCCTCTTTATCTGCCTTAAATGTGTGACCCCTTATCTTGAGATAATGCCCTCTGGACCTAGACTCTCCCACAGGGGGAAATAACCTTTCCACATCTATCCTGTCAAGTTCCCTCAGAATCTTGTGTTTTAGTAAGGTCACCTCCAATTGTTCTAAACTTCAATGAGTACAGGCCCAATCTACCCAACCTCTGCTCATAAGACAATCCTTACATCTGTGGTATCAGCCTACTCAACCTTCTCTGACTGCCTCCAATGCCAGTATATCTTTCCTTGCGTAAGGGACCCAAAACTGTTCACAGCATTCCCACTGTGCTCTGGCGAGTGCTTTGTATAATTTTAGCAATACTCCACTCCTTTTGAAATAAAAGCCAACATCCCATTTGCCTGCCCTATTACCTGCTGAACTTGGTATTATCATTTTGTGATTTATGTTCAAGGGCTCCCAAATCCCTCTATACTGTAGTTTTCTGCAGTCAACAAGTTAAATTCTAACTATTTGTTCTTAGTGGGAACAAAGACCACAGAGCAAATAATATTATGAATTTAATTAATTTCATTTGGTGACAATTATTTAACTAGAATAATGCTACATGTGTTTGCTTTTGAATTATTTCAAATCCTTACAAACTTTAGGGGTGTTCTGCTCATGACTTTCAATTCAAAACTGTAATTCTTTCATTACCTGCTGTCTGGCAATGATACAAAGTTCCTGAGTACATAGAATCGATGATAGACTGAGAGAAGATTGTTGAGTTGTTGAATTAGGAAAATAAACTTCAAATCCCAAACGAACAGTGATTTCTAAAACCAGTTGCCAAGCCGTGGTCACTAGGAGCACTCCAGAAGTTAATGTAGTTCCTTCTGTTATAGAGGATAATG